TTTTATATAAGAGGAATCTTTTAAATACAATTTTCTAGCTATTTCAGCTCTAGTTATACAAAATATTCTTATTACCAGATCTCTTATGAACTTTTTTGGTGACTTTGTCATAATAATTGGTCATCAGTAGGAGTCAGTTTCTAGATGCTCTATTTTGTTGCTCTATTCTGTTGATGTAGCTGTCCATCCTCAAAGTCTTCACATTGTCTTTATTATTAAAATTTGATAGAATTAAGTACTATAATTAAATACCTTAATTTTTCCAACCCTTTTCTTTTTCAAGATCAATTTGTCCCTTCTAGATCTTTTTAACTTTCACATATACTCTTAAAATTAGCTTGCCAATTTCTGCCCCCAAACAAAAAGTCTGAGATGAGATTGAAACCTAGGTATTCCATTATGGAACGTGGGGGTCTCAAGCAGCATCCTACCACTTCTTCCTTTCTGAGCAAAATGCCTTTCATTTCTTAAGTTTCTGCATCTCACTGGCTAAGCTCTCCAGTATAATACTGAATAAAAGAAATAAAAGTAGACATCCTTGCTTTGTAGCCAATTTAGCTGAAAGTGATCAATATGAATATGCATATGAGCTCTTATGTTAGCTGTAGTTTGTAATAGCCACCTTTTATCCTATAAAATAAACTTGCTATTAGTCTCACTTAATGACTATTTTATATCATGAAATAGTGTTAGATTGTGCCAAATGCTTTTTAATTTATTGAAAAATCACATGATTTTTTATCCTTCATCCTATTAATGAGGTATGGGCTGGTACTTCACTCTCAATGACTTTTCTGGAATTCAGGATTTATTTTAGAAGATTTTATTGTTTTTTTGGTCTTTAGCATGGCTATTTTTTGTCATTATGTAGTATTTATATGCCATGCAATAGGAAAGAATTATCATCTAGCTCCAGTATGCTAACAAAGTTTCATTTGTCTTTAGAAGAACACGTTTTGGGGGTTGGTGCAGTGGTGCACTAGGTTAATCCTCCGCCTACAGCACTGGCATCCCACATGGGCACCAGGTTCTAGTCCCGGTTGCTTCTTTTTTCAGTCTAGCTCTCTGCTGTGGCCTGGGAGGGCAGTGGAGGATGGCCCAAGTGCTTGGGCCCCTGCACCTGCATGGGAGACCAGGAAGAAGCACCTGGCTCCCGGCTTTGGATCAGTGCAGTACCAGCCGTTGCAGCCATTTGGGGGGTGAACCAACGGAAGGAAGACTTTTCTCTCTGTCTGTCTCTCCCACTGACTGTAACTCTACCTGTCAAAAAAATAAATAAAAATCTTAAAAAAAAAAAAGAAGTGGCCGGCGCCGCGGCTCACTAGGCTAATCCTCCGCCTAGCGGCGCCGGCACACCGGGTTCTAGTCCCGGTCGGGGCGCTGGATTCTGTCCCAGTTGCCCCTCTTCCAGGCCAGCCCTCTGCTGTGGCCAGGGAGTGCAGTGGAGGATGGCCCAGGTGCTTGGGCCCTGCACCCCATGGGAGACCAGGAGAAGCACCTGGCTCCTGGCTCCTGCCATCGGACCAGCGCGGTGCGCCGGCCGCAGCGCGCCAGCCACGGCGGCCATTGGAGGGTGAACCAACGGCAAAGGAAGACCTTTCTCTCTGTCTCTCTCTCTCACTGTCCACTCTGCCTGTCGAGATATACAAATAAAAAAAAAAAAAAGAAGTACACATTTTAGATAGCAAACATTTCCTGGGTACAAGAAACCTCTTTGTGAATTGTGTTGATTGTTTTAAACAGTTTGTTTGATAATAAAGCATATCCATTAAAAAAGGATTCACATGTGCCACAATTTTAGTTCAGAGAAACTAAAAGCTCAGTAAGGAGTGAAACTTTCTAGGCTTACTGAGTTTAATGTGTGTTAACTACATTAGGATTTCAATAGTCAAGAAGAAGACAAACAATCTCTAATTTGTCCTTTCTCCAGAGGTCAAAACCATTTAAACACCACATCCCACTAATGTGGAGGCTATTTTTCCATTTCAGGTTAATTAAATTCCATTATTCCTGGAGTCAGTCAAACAGTAACATTTACTAAGGACAAAGTGCAAAAGGAAGCTGGGGTCCTTGACGGCTGTAACTCACGTCCCTCAGGACCTTACATCCCAAGTAAGAAGATAGGGTTGATGCACAAAAAATACAAATGACATGAACTAGCACCAAAAGAACAGGCGAATCTGATTCCAAATAATAAGAAGCTCAGAATATACTCTTCTCTCAGGACAGAGGATAGAGTATTTGGAAAGTGTACCTGCTTTATATCGAAAATAAGCAAAGAAGGAAGTTAAACACTTAATAAGATGCCATATAATTTTAATACTGTGATTATGAAAGAATCAAAAAAATTCATGATTAAATGTTTGGAAAGTGGGACAAAGCAGGAGACTGGCAGAAGGAATGTATGAGATCTTCAAAACGCACATTATTAAAGACTTGCCCCAAAACTAACTTATCTTTTAAGTGTATTTTCCCACAAACACTTAAGAGCCTTGTATGCCTCCAAGGTTAAGCATCGGGCTCCTGTGATTCTGGTCACTAAGTCTACCATTCCTTCTTTCCTCTATCTTTTACCTCTCCTCCGGGTTTCCACATGAGAAAAATTTTAGGAGTCTCTTTCATTGATTTCCTGCAAACTCACTGCTTAGTGGAAAAAGCAGTGTAACAATATCACAATAAAATAAACAGAACTTATAACTTTCAGGTTGGGCCCTATTTTCCTCAGGCTTGTAGAACTATTGGATATTAACAAATTCACTTACTCCTAGAGTTAACCAGGCTTTGCAGGACATACGGAAATAAAGTCAATGCAAAAGTATCCCAAGTCTTCTCGATTCTCTCACTATTCTGTCTTCCTAGACTCAGAGTTAAACTATTTTAGAGCACAGGTAGAAACAAAATGTTTGAGATAAAAAGGTTTATTTCAGTCTGTGGATGGCAAGAATTATAGACATTAAAGTTTGTGTCAGGGCCAGCACTGTGGCACAGCAGGTTAAAGCCCCAGTATGCAGTGCCAGCATCCCATATGGGTGCCGGTTCAAGTCCCAGCTGCTCCATTTCCAATCTAGCTGTCTTCTATGGCCTAGGAAAGCAGCAGAAGATGGCCCAAGTCCTTGGGCCCCTGCACCCATGTGGGAGACCCGGAAGTAGCTCCTATTTCCCGGCTTCGGATCGGCCAGCTCCAACCATTGTGGCCATCTGGGAAGTGAACCAGTGGATGGAAGATCGATCTATCTATCTTTCTTTCTCTCTCTCTCTCTCTCTCTCTCTCTCTCTCTTTCTCCCTGCCTCTGCCTCTGCCTCTGTCTCTGTGTAACTCTGCCTTTCAAATAAATAAATAAATCTTTAAATCCAATGAATACTTTTTAGGAATAGGAAAAAATCTATCTTCCGATTAATATGGAATCTAAAAGGATCTTGAATAGTCAGACAGATTGATAAGAAAAAATAGGCCCATGTTTAATTTTATAACTTACTATAAAACTACAGTAATCAAGAGTGTGTCATAAAGGCAGACATATAATACAATGAAATCAAATAAAGAGCACAGAACTAAATTACCATACATATAGTCAAATAATTGCTGACAAGGGTGCCAAGGCCATTCTATGAAGAGAAGAGAGTCTTTAACACAAGGTGTTGGGAAAACCATATATCCACATGCAAAAGAGTCAGAGTTCAACTCATAATAGCACATATAAAACCTAAACAAAAGAGTAAAAATTATAGAACTCAGAAAGAAAAAAGGGTAACAACTTCAGGATACTACATTTGGCAACAATTTCTTAGACATGACACCAAAAGCACCAAAAACAAAAGAAAAAATAAACTAAACTTCATCAACATCAAAAACTCTGTGTGGCAAAATGTAGTACCAACAGAGTAATACGGCAACCCAGGAATAAGAAAAAATATCTGAAACTCATATATAAGAGATTAATACCTAGAATTTATGAAGAATTTCTATAAATCAACACTAATAATAGCAAAAAAAAAAAAAACAGGCAAAGAATGTGAACAGACATTTCTTCAATGATAAAGAAATAGCCATGGGGCTGGCATTGTGGCATACTGGGTAAAACCGCCATCTGCACCCATTCATGTCCTGGCTGTTCCACTTCTGATCCAGTTCCCTGCTAATGGCCTCAGAAAAGCAGCGGAAGATGGCCCCAAGTACCAGGGCCCTGCCACCCACGTGGGAGAACTGAAAGTGGTTCCTGCTCCTGGCTTCAGCCTGGTGCAGCCCCAACTGTTGTAGCCATCCAGAGTAAACCAGTGGCTGGAAGCTCGCTCGCTCTCTCTCTCTCTCTCTCTAACTCTGACTTTCATATAAATAAATAAATCTTTAACAAAATAAAGACAATTTATGCATTTGAAGAGATGCTCAACATCACTAATCATTAGAGAAATTCAAATCAAAATCACAAAAGAACAAGCCTTAGTGAGGCTGTGGATAAACTGGACCATTTATGCATTGTTGGTGGAAACGTAAAATGGCACAACCTCCATGGAAAACACGATGGAAATTCCTCAAAAAATTAACACAGAATTACCACATGCTCCAGAAATTCTACTTCTGGGTAAATACTCAAAGGAACTGAAAGCAATGACTCAAAAAGACATCTGCACACTCCTGTTCATACCAGTATTATATGTGTTAGCCACAGAAGGCAGTAACTTACATATTCATTGATGAGTGATTAATAAATAAAATGTGATTATATATATTATTCAGACTTAAAATGGAAAGTAATTATAACATGCTACAACACGGATGACCCTAGAAAACATTAGGTGAAATAAGCCAGACCCAAAAGGACAAATATGATTCCTCTTAAGATGAGTAGAATAGAAATGCCAAATGTGCTGTGGCATAGTAGGTTAAGCTGCCACCTGCAAGTGCCTGGGTTCAAGCTTCAGGTACTCCACTTCTGATCCAGCTCCCTGCTAATGCACCTGGCAAAGCAGTGGAGGATGACCCAAAGCTTGAGCCCCTGTACCTTTGTGGTAAACCCAGAGGAAGCTTCCGGCTCCTAGCTTCAGCCTGGCCCAGTCCTGCTGTTGTAGCCATTTGGGAAGTGAACCAGCAGATGGAAGATCTCTCTCTGCGTCTCTTCCTCTTGCTCCGTAACTCTTTCAAATGAGCAAATACAAATCTTTAAAAAAAAAAGAAAAAAAAAAAAACAAAGATAAGTAGAATAATACCAGGAACACAGGATAGCAGAAAATGGGAAGTTATTGCTTAAGGGGTACAACATTTCTGTCTGGGAAGATAAAAAGTACTGGAGCTGGATACTCCCAAAGGTTGCCCAGGTCTCAGTGCTTGTCTCTCCCTCTCCCTCTACCCCCACCCCTCCCCATACCTCTCCAACAGAATATAGTTTATGCCACTGAACCATGCATTTAAAAATTATTAAAATGGGGCTAGTGTTGTTGCACGATAGGTTACCCTATCATGTGCCGTGCTGGCATCTGATTTCACAGCATTGTCCCAGTCCCAGCTCTTCCACTTCTGATCCAGCTCCTTGCTAATGCACTTGGAAAGGCCATGGAAGATGGCCCAGCGACATGGGTCCCTGCCACCCACGTAGGAGACCCAGATGGATTTCTGGGCTTATAGCCTGTTAGGGATTGAACCAGTACGTGGAAGATCTCTCTGTCTCTCCTTCTCTGTTACTCTGCCTTTCAAATAAATGACTCGTAAAAATTAAAATGATAAGTTATGCCTATGTTAGTATAGTGGTAATATATTTAAATCTTAAAAATATTTTAATGAGATATACTAACTTATTGAAGGTAAAATAAAAAATATTATTATTTAAGAGATTTGTGAAATTTGGGAATTCAAACATTCAGACATCATCAATTGAGATTTTTAGACTGAAGCTGGACAGGACAGATACCTCGCATTTCAAACCAACACTCACATTTGTAGTTCCCCGTACCTCATTAAACCCTTTCTTTGGAGACAGAATTTTTCCTTATCGATCTCTAAACCGCTTTCCATTAATTTTGTTCCCCATATGGTTGACCATCATTTTCGAGATTAAAACGATACAAATGAGAAGAACATTTTTGAAAAGTTATAATCAAGTTAGTTTCGTCTCCTCTGTCCCAAGTTAATAGCATTATTGTCGATATTGCAATATAAATAAGCATTTCAAAAAGAGCTGACAAAACTACTCATCATTTTGTCACTGAATCTACAGGAAAGGCAGATTCTGGCCTATTGCAGCCAAAAACACTTGCTAAGCAGAAAATCTTACACGACTTCGTGACAAAAGAAGTGAGTGCATAAAAAGTTAGGAGAGTTTCTCAGTTGTAGGATCGTCAGTTGCAGATGTATTTTTGAAGTGTCAGTAATAATAAAAACTTAGATTTGTCAAGTAGTTACTAGTTTTCAAAGGACAGTCCAACTTATAAAATATCAAAATTTCTATTAAGCTAGCATTTCTGAAAAATGTTGAAATTCCAATTTTTATGCCCAAATCTTTTAAAAGAATATGCCAAAATTCTATTTGCCAAACTGTTGTTAAGTTCACTGGCTGGATGTTCATACACTGTTTGTACTTCTTTTGTTGTTTCTCCTTTGGTAATTCTAAATTTTTTAGCAAAAATTGGTGATGCTAATTTTTTCGGCAATATAACCAAGTAACATAACTCAGATACCATTTGGATATAAATTATTGAAAAAACAATAGCATAATCTTTTGGTATTTATTAGAAGTGCTTTTTATAAATTCATAAAATTAAAGGTAAATTAATATAATTGAACAACATGGCTGTACAGAAAGTGAAATTAAAATACTGCAGAATCTTATAGTCAACTTCAGCATTAACTCCATTAAAACTCTTTTAGCAGGAAAGCTAACGTAATAGCTTTATGGTTTGTGTTCTTCAATTCTTACTGAACATGCTCCAGTAAATACACTGAAGAACTAAAAAAAATCACCAAAAGATCAGAAGCCAAGAGCTGAAGATGGAAAACAAAACAAAACAGTTTCACTGATGTGTGTTAAGTTAGGATGAAGAATATCTCTAAACCTGCTCATTGAATCACTTTTATAAGCCATGAGTCACACTGCAGCATATTTTTATTAATAATGTAGAAACTTTAGAAGGGCAAATGTTTCAGACAGAGCAATACGCTAACTTGAAAGCACAAGTTCTCCTTTATAAACAAAAACGTTTCTTTCACACTGCTCTGGAAACACGCGGTTTGGTTCATGATTGCTGAAAGACATCATTAGCTCCTCAGCCCTCTATCCCTTTTGCTCACCAGTCCAGCTCTTCCTACAAAGGACTTCCACAGCCCTGCTCACCTTTGAAGCTCACAGCCTCCTTTGAATTCGAAGCCCTAACAAGGAGGCCATTAGTGTGCTTGTCAAGCCAGGTTGGAATACGAGCCTAGAGAAAAGACTAGAGAGTACCTCTGAATTGCAATTTTTCACTTATTGTGAAATTAAGCATCCTAAACGTTTACAAATCTTACAGAGTTAAATGCAAGTCAAGTAACTTTTTATTTGCTTGAAAATACCAGACTTCACTCATAAATGAGTTTAGTGCATATGCATTGTTCTATAATATTCTCTTTGTCTGTCTGCCTCATATTTGAATATGTTAATATATTGCCAGTTCCTATAGGAAAGGTGAAGCATTTATAGCTACTTGACAAGGGAAAACAGGTTTAATGTAATAAAATGTGCACCCGAGGAGAAAAAGAATCAATTTTCTTCTCTTTCAAATATTAACTCTTTGCCCTAATGGATCTGACCCCGTCATATTAAATGGAATGATCTTATAAGAATAATAGAAAAATATCTTTCTAGGTATTTTAGCATAACTTTCTGCTTTTATGAGTTATTTGTTTCTTCATATGAATTAACAAAGCTTACCTGTTGCTGCCTAAAAAGTTATCCTTGTAATTGACTGGCTTAAACCAGCCCATTCATTGTGCTATGACCCACCTATGGGTGAGGAATTGGTGCAGGGATCACTTTTGATGACTGAGGTCATTAGGAGGCACTCAGCTGACAGAGACGCTAGTTGTGAGGATCCAAGACACCATCACTCACATGTAGGGACCCTGCAGGGAGACAGTAAGACAAACCAATCCACATGTGACTGTCAACTAAAGAGTCTACATGTGGTCTCCAGCAGTGTTAGAATACTTGTGCCTCTTATCTGATGCTTACAGGTTCCAGTAAAGACTATTCCAAGAAACAGTAGACGGAGCTGTCGTTTCCTTGATAAGTGGGTGTGATACCTGGCATACCATAACTTCTCCCTCACTGCATTGGTTAAAGAAATCCCAGAGCCTAGCTCAGATCAAGGAAAATGGACATGGACCTCACATGTCAGAAAAGTAGCTCCCTTTAACCTTCCCTGTCAACTAACTTCCCTCAGTGCCTCCTGCAGGCTCATGAAGATACAGATTGAAGTACTTTACCTTTAGGTCTCCTCTCTAACTTATTTAACCTTCACTGTATCACTTGGCTATGACTTTGAAAGAATTCTCTCTGGGGCGGTGCTGTGGCTTAGTAGGTTAACCTCTGCCTGTGATGTTAGCATGCCATATGAGTGCTGCTGGAGTCCTGGCTGCTCCACTTCTAATCCAGCTCTCTGCTGATGGCCTGGGAAAACAGTGGAAGCTGGCCCAAGTGCCTGGGCCCCTGCACCCACATGGGAGATGCAGAAGAAGCTCCTGGCTCCTGGCTTTGAATCAGCGCACTTCCGGCCATTGTGGCCATTTGAGAAGTGAACCAGCAGATGAAAGATCTTTGTCTCTCCTTTTTTTCTGTCTTTAACGCCATCTCTCAAATAAATGAATTAAAAAAATTGACTCAGTCTTCAGTGAATTTCTTCTAATTAAAGAAGCAGCAAAAGAATTTAAAAAATGGATTTTTGGTATGCATTTGCAAATTTACATAATGTGTATTTTTATAATAAAATGGAGATACTTGTTACATACCTTGATACTCTGATGATAATCTATTCCCAACATCAACACAGAAATCCTTTTATTGATAAAATAATAAATATATTTTCAAAATCAGTGAAGAATGTGGTGGTATTATTCCAGACCCTGGAGCTGAAATCTCGGGCCTACATAATCAAGTACTCTGCTCCAAGTCACCATTCTGGTGGACATCAAAGCTGGGATGGTTGCTCCCTGGTGACTGAGTACAACCATGGAATCTCTGCAGCTGAATTACATCAATATTTCAATGTAAATTTCTACAGTGATACTCTGGGCCATTTATTCTCATTCTCTCTGAAACTTTGATATTCAATATTCAGTTCTTATGATCATATATGCGCAGAGCCTCTTAAAAGTCTCAAAGATTTATATTTGAAAGCTCCCACCTGAGTCCTAAGGACATCATAGTTTGTATTCATGTCAAACACAACCTGGATAATTACAAAGCAGTTGGCCTGTTTTTACTTAGTATCATACTAATGTTTAATAACTGCACTTTGGACAACCCATCAACATCTAATCAGCAAAAAACATCTTAGTAAGTGCAAACCTAAGGCCTATTTGATGGGCCTGTGGTCAGCTATTTAAGAAGAGGGAAAGGGCCACTGTCGTGGGATAATGGCTAAAGCCATCATCTTGGATGCCAGCATCCCATGTGGTTGCTGGATCATGAGCGGGCTGCTCCACTTTTGATCCAGCTCCCTGTTAATGTGCCCAGGGAAAGCAGAAGATGGTCCCAAGTACTTTGGCCCCTGCAACTCATGTGGGAGACCCAGAGAAGGTTTTGGCCTGGCCCAACCCCTGGCCATTATGGCCATCTGGGGAATGAACCAGCAGATGGAAGATTCTTTCTCTCTCTCTCTCTCCCTCTTTCTCTCTCTCTTTCTCCCTTCCCACCCCCATTCAATCCTCTTTCTCTGTAACTCTGACTTTCAAATAAGTAAATCTTAAAAGAAAAAGAGAAAGAATTATTAACCCATTCTTGGGTCATTGGTCTTAACACATCAGTTAGACACAATGATCTAATGTTTTAAATCCACAAATGAATTTTATCACTTAGTGAGAATCCCATATAAATTAAATATCAAAAAAGATCCTCATGAAGCTGACTTGCAATATCATTGTGTGTCCATGATTTTTTTTAAAACTTTTGATAAATGATATTACTATTAGACTTGATGGACTGAAAGCATAAATTACATATACCCCTAAGCTATACTTAATAAATAAAATTATATATAAATATGAATTCATAAAGTTCATAAGTTTTCATTTCTTTATGCTTTTAAATAAATAGAAAAAATTATCTTATAGGACTAAACTTGTGATTAGAATGAATCAATGAATTTTTTAACTTCATCCTCGAATTAGTCAATGAAGAGACATGATAAGTTTGTCCAACAGATTTTGAGTAAAAGATTCCAAAAATCACAAAAGCTATTTTGAAAATAATTTCAAAGTTAAAAGAGTAAGCAGTTTTGTATAGATAAAATTTGAGTTAAAGTTTTTTACATTTTTCAACTCTTCACTCTAGAATTTTTCTTAACTTTAACACAGATAATGGTATAATGAATCCCTTTACTGATGACCCAGCTTCCATATTTAATCATCCAGATTCAATATGATTCATGGATAAAGTTGTTGCTTCTCCATTCTCACCAACTCCCCAATCTCACTTGTTTGTCAGAAACCCCAGATGTTATGTTTAACTAGTAAAGTGGATAAACATTTAAAACTCCATATGGTGGGCTTTAAGGCCCTGCCAGTTATGAGGCCCAGACTTATCTATCTCTTCACATGGGGTACATGACAAGGGAGGTTTGAACCTCCTTAGGGAAGGCACCCTGTTGACATCCATTAACTAGCTTGCCTGGGAGGAGAGCTGGCCCAGTGAAGGCAGGTGGTATTTGCAGCAAGAAATTTGCAGTTCTGCCTGCTATGTTATTGACCCTGCTTGGCCGCCCCCTCAGCAGCAGTGGTTACCTTGGAAGCTGGGAGTCCCACTCCAGAGCAGTTCATTTCCAGTGACCCAACACTTGGCTAGCAGAGCGGCCAGGGCTCTCCATGAGCTGACTTCTGCCGAAGCCCTGGCTTTCCACAGTGGACTTGGAGTTGGGTCTCCTTGATGGCAGATCACTGTGTAAAGCAGCCGTTAATTGGCCTGCAGTCTATCTTTCTATTACTTCTGCTGCCCAGCTTCCTCTTCCTCCTGAATTTAACCATAATAAGATACAAGTGTCTAAGGCAGACAAAATATCATTAGCGACTCAATGTTTTCAATATAGTTTAAACTACTGGGCTTTTTTTTTTTTATTCTTTACACCACACTTAATTTCAAAATACTGAAACACTTTTATTCATGTAATTAATTTCCTTAGTGTATACACCAATTCAAACTGGGCCCTATCTGGTAGCCAAAACTAGCAATGTTTTATAATATCACAATCTAAATCTTTAGCTGGCAAAATATGAAAATATATAAAAAATCATATTTTCCATTAAGTGAAATTATTCCCAAAACTTTTTATCAGGCACTTATTCCATGTCAGGCTATACAACATATTAAAGATAAAATAGCAAGCAATAACTCCTGTCCCAATAGAGCTAATATTCAAGCAGGAAAATGTCAACTAAGAACTAGAATTAGAAATGTATTATATAGGCTGGCGCCACAGCTCACTAGGTTAATCCTCCACCTGCGGTGCCGGCACCCCAGGTTCTAGTCCCAGTTGGGGCACTGGTTCTGTGCCAGTTGCTCCTCTTCCAGTCCGGCTCTCTGCTGTGGTCCGGGAAGGCAGTGGAGGATGGCCCAAGTGCTTGGGCCCTGCACCCACATGGGAAACCAGGAGGAAGCACTTGGATCCTGGCTTCGGATTGGCGCAGCGCGCCAGCCGTAGCAACCATTTGGGGGATGAACCAACGGAAAAAAGGAAGACCTTTCTCTCTGTCTCTCTCTCTCACTAACTCTGCCTGTCAAAAAAAAAAAAAAAAAAGAAAAGAAAAGAAATGTATTATTTAATGCCATGTAGCAATACATGCTATAATAAAAAATAAATCCAAATAAGCTGGCAGTCAGTGGTTTGAGGGACAGAGAACTTTATTCCTCAAAGAAACCCATGCACAGTATATTAAATTAAGTAGGGGAATAAGTCATCCAATAGAGCAGTTAAAACAGCAAAGTCAAGCTTTGATGCGGGAATAGCTCTGACATTTTTTTGTAAATTTTTTAATTTACATCAGATGAAAGAATTTCATGAGTTTCATATATACAGATTTAGAAGCATAGATACTTCCCACCTCCCTCCTCATTCCTTCCTTATTATTTCTTCTAATTTTTACAAGGACATACTTTGTTCCTTTTATAATCATAAGCTTAATCCTCCACTAAATAAAGAATTCAAATAGTAAGCAGAAACACTGTTCCTCAACAGTAGAGACAGAGCTCTAAAAATAATCAAATCTCAAAATGTCAGTTCCACTCCAGTATACTACATTTTAGATATTCTATTAGTTATCACAGATCAAGAAAAACATACAATTATTTTTCTTTTGGGGGATATCTTATTTCACTAAGTAAAAAGGTCTCCAGTTGCATCCATTTTGTTGTGAGAGACAAGATTTTTTTCTTTTATGCAGCTGAGTAGTGTTCAATAGCATATATAAGCAACATTTTCTTCATCCAGTCATCAGTTAATGGACATTTGAGTTGATTCCATATCTTAGCTATTGTGGATTCAGTTGCAATAAAATGGAGGGTACAGATAACTCTTTTATGTGTTGATTTTATTTCACTTAGGGAAATTCCAAGGAATCAAAAGATTGGGTCATATGGTATATCTATTGTCAGATTTTTGAGGTATCTCCATACTGTCTTCCACAATGATTGTACTAGTTTACATTCCCACCAACAACAGATTCGGGTACCTTTTCCCCACATCCTCACCAACATTTATTATTTTTTGATTTGTGGATGATAGTGATTCTAATAGGAGTAAGGTGAAACCTCATTGTGGTTTTCATTTGCATTTCCCTGATGGCTAGTGATCCTGAGCATTTTTCCATATGTCTGTTGGCTATTTGAACTTCATCTATTGAAAAATAACCATTCAAATTCTTTGTCCATTTCTTAACTGGATTGTTTGTTTTGCTGTTGAGTTTCTTGAGCTCTTTATAGATTATGGATATTAATCCTTTATCAGTTCCATAGTTTTAAATGTTTTCTCCCATTCTATGGGTCACCTCTTCTCTTTGCTGAATGTTTTCTTTGCAGAAACTTCTTAGCTTGATGTAATCCCATTTGTCTATTTTTTTCTTCAATTGCCTGTGCTGCTGTGGTCTTTTCAAAGAAGTCTTTGTCTATACCAATATCTTGCAGAGTTTCCCCAAGTTTCTCCTCTAGTAATTTGATGGTATCAGGTCATAGATTAAGATCTTTCATCCATCCTGAGTTGATTTTAATAAGGGTAAGGTAAGAGTCTTGTTTCATATTCTGCACAAGAGATCCAATTTTCCCAGCACCATTTGTTGAAAAGACTGTCCTTTCTCCAGGGATTGATTTCAGCTCTTTGGGCAAGGATTAGTTGGTAGTAGATGTGTGAATTGATTTCTAGAATTTATATTCTGTTCCATTGGTCTACATGTCTATTTTTGGGCCAATATTAGTCTGCAGTATGTCTCAAAATCTGGTATTGTGACACTTCTTGCTTTGTTTTGCTTCTTTCAGATTGCTTTAGCTATTCTGGGTCTCGTATTTCTGTATGAATTTTAGAACCTTTTTTTTTTTAATCTGAGAAGAATATCCTTGATATTTTGACTGGGATCATGTTGAGTCTGTAAATTGCTTTCAGAAGTACGGATATTTTAATGATATTAATACTTCCAGTCCATAAACATGGAAGATTATTCTATTCGTGTGTGTGTATGTGTGTCTTCTGTTTCTTTCCTTAATGTTTTATAATTTTCATTTTAGGGATCTTTCACCTCCTTGGTTAAATTTATTCTAAGGTATTTAAAATTTTTTGTAGCTATTTTTAATGGGATTGATCTCAGAAGTTCTTTCTCAGCCATGACATTGTCTGTATATACAAAGGCTATTGATTTTTTTTATGTCGATTTTATATACTGCAACTTTACCAAACTCTCTTATGAGTTCAGTAGTATCTTGGTGGAGTCTTTTGGTTCCCCTGTATGTAGGATCATGTCATCTGCAAACAGGGGTAATTTGACTTCCTCCTTTCTAATTTGTATCCCATTGATTTCTTTTTCTTGCCTAATGGCCCTGGCTAAAACTTCCAGTACTATATTGAATAGCAGTGGTGAGAGCGGGCATCGCTGTCTGGTACCAGATCTCTAGAAATGCTTCCAACTTTTCCACGTTCAATATGATGTTGGCTGTGGGTTTGTCATATATTGCCTTGATTGTGTTGAGGAATGTTCCTTCTACACCCAATTTGCTTAAGGTTTTTATCATGAAAGGTTGCTGTATTTTATCAAATACTTTCCTTCTGCATCTATTGAGATAATCATATGATTTTTCTTCAATTTGTTCATGTGATATAACACATTTATTGATTTGTGTATGTTGAGCCAACCCTGTTTACCAGAGATAAATATAAATTCCTTTTGGTCCAGGTGAATGATCTTTCTGATGTGTTGCTGAATTTGTTAGGCTAGTATTTTACTAAGTATTTCTGCATCTATGTTCATCAGTGATACTGGTGTATAGTTCTCTTTCTTGCTTTAATTTTTTTGGGGGTTTTGGAATTAAAGTGATGTTTGACTCATAGAAGGAGTTTGAGAGGATTCCCTTATTTTCAATTATTTTGAATAGTTCCAGAAGGACTGGAACTAGTCTTCTTTAAAAGTCTTATAGAATTCAGCATTGAGTAGAACAAACAAACAAAAAAAATACTAAGAGGCATAACATTGAAACCATCCAGTCCAGGACTTTTCTTTGCTGGGAGGGTCTTTATTACTGATTCAATCTCTGCCTTGGTCATTTGCTCTGTTTAGGTTTTATGTCTTCATGAGTCAGTTTTGGTAGACTGTGTGTCAAGCACTCTATTCATTTCTTCTAGATTTTCCAGTTTGTTGGCATATAACTGTTTGTAGAAATTCTTGATGATTCTTTTTATTTCTGTGGTACCCATTATTAGATCTCCTTTCTCATTTCTGATTTTATTGACTTGGGTCTTTTCCTTTTTTTTTTTTTTTGGTTAGTTGGGCCAATGATGTTAAAAATTTCATTTGTTATTTCAAAAAAAAAGCTCTTTATTCCATTGATCTTTTGTAATTTTTTTGTTCCAAATTTGTTTATTTCTTCTTTAATTTTAATTATTTATTTCCTCAGTTTGGGGTTTGGTTTCTTGTTGTTTTTCTGTCATTGAGATTCACTGAAAGCTCACTTATTTGATGCCTTTCCAATTTCTTGATGTAGGCACTAATTGCTATAAAATTTCCTCCTCTCACTGTTTTTGCTGTAACTCATAAGTCATGATATGTTGTATTATTGTCTTCATTAATTCTCAGAAATTTTTCTATTTCCCTTTTGATTTCATCTATGACCCACTATTCATTCAGGAGCATGTTGTTCAGTCTCCACGTGTTTGCCTATTTTCTATACATTCTTAATTTGTTAATTTCCAGCTTCATTCCATTGTGATCAGAAAAGATGATTGGTATTATTTCAGGTTTTTTTTTAATTTTCTGAGACTTGCTTTACAGCCTAGCGTATGGTCTATCCTAGAGAAACTTCCGTGCACTGAGGCAAAGAATATGCATTCTTTGTGGGATAAAATGTTCTGTAGATATCAGTTACAACCATTTGTTCCTTAAAGTAGACTAGGTCTGTTATGTATTTGTTGACTTTCTGTCTAGTTGATCTGTCCATTGATGAAAGTGGGGTGTTGAAGTCCTCAATTACTATTTTTAAGATTTATTTTTTTATTTGAATGACAGAGTTACAGAGAGGCAGAGACAGAGGCAGAGAGAGAAGTCTTCTTTCTGCTGGTTCACTCCCCAGATGGTCACAATTGCCAGAGCTGAGCCAATCCAAAACCAGGAGCCAGGAGCTTCTTCTATGCCTCTCAGGTTAGAGCAGGGGCCCAAGGACTTGGGCCATCCTCCACTGCTTTCCCAGACCATAGCAGAGAGCTGGATCAGAAGTGAAGCAGCCAGTACTCAAACTAGTGCCCATTTGGGATGCCAACA